TAAAAACACTTTCCCTGTCCTTAATGGTCTTTGTCTCAAAGAGCTTTTCCACCCAGGCAGCTTAGCATCATAAGAGGCTTCCTAGCAGGGAGCTACTGGTCCTTCTGTGTGTAGCCACTGCTTGTCCTTAGGAGGGAGGGGTCTCTGTCTATGGCAGCATCTCACTGTAGAGATCTTGGGACCTAAGATTTAATGCTCGTTTGGTCTAGACATCCAAGCTTCCCTGTGTCTGCTCTGGTCCTATGGTTTGAGTAAATTAGGATTGATACTACAAATAATAAGAGCTGGCTACCTGTCATGACCAGATCCTGTACCAAGCCCCCCCCCCTTTTTTATTGGGCTTGGAGGTGCCCAGGCAAGGCCTAGCTGTGAAGCAAGGCAGGTTGGTGCTAGTACCAGGTCTTGGGCCTTGCATTGATAGGTTTGGGGCATGCTGTCACCAGCTGTAACTTGTTTGAGAGATTTTAGCAAAGTCTCAAGCCCTTTATATTAGGACCTCATTTTATCCTACAGCTGCCCAATGGGCTAGGTATTCTTACTGCCTTTATACAGATGGAGCAACAGAAGCTAGGAGTGGTTAAGGAATATACCTAATATCATACTTGAACTTGTTTCCCAACCCATACTCAGCCATTATGTCAGCATTTCTCAAAGAACAGGCCACACAGGTCAAGCTTAGGAGGGGCTCATTTTAAGTGGTCAGATTCCTGGGCTACACCCAAAGCTGAACTAGAACCTCTGGAGCTGAGGCTAAGGACCTGACTTTTAATCATATTTCTCTGGTGAATCTTTAGCACATCAAAATTCGAGAACCACTATAACATGCTATGATTGAGGGAAATTTTCCAGTTGCAAATGTATGCTTATCGGGCAAGGAAACTTCAAACCCACTAGACTTAAAGTGAAGGATTTGTGTATAGATACTTGCAACAGACCACTTTCATAATTTAAGCAAAAGCACCAATCATTCCCATCATCACTTCAGGTTTTACTAAAGTAAGGAGGACAGTGTACTGCTGTACTTGACGTTTACCACTAGAGGGCGCGAATTCTCTGGTAAAGGAATGGGTGCTTGGCAGAGTCTCAAAGAATCCGAAGCAGGCATGGCCAGAGGCAGAAATCAGGAAAACCAGAAACACCCACTGAATGTGCCTTAGTGAAATGTCCTTCCCTTGCGAGCACCCAGCTGCAGTGCCTACGCACCTTCTTCCATCATAAACCAGTGACTCCTCCCCTTGATGATATAAGATGCCCAGTGACTTGAAGGGCTGAACTTGAAGGGCAGTCTCATTGATGAGCCTCACGTGAATTTCCAGAAGAGATAAAACCGGCAGCGTGTAGACCTGGCTGCTTCCTGAATCTCTTCTCTCCCCTAACAATAGCAAAACAGCCTTCTTCTATGACCATCAATTTTCCCACAATAAGCATCTGCAACCTTCGAGGATGACGTGGTTTTGTAGTAAGATTGATTCACATCACACAGCCTTTGTTGTGAGCAGATAGGTGGGAGGAAGTGTTACTAATTTTTTTTAAAAAGTGAATAATTCTCGGTTGTCAGTGCAGCATCGTTTGTACAGTCAGCTGAGTGTGAGTCTCTGTAATAGGATTTATGACACAGAGCAGTCTGAGGAATTTCCCATTGCAGTGAGGGAGGTGTCACTCAGGGCCAACACAGGGATGTAGATTATAGCGTAGGGAATATAGTCAATAGTATTGTAATAACTATGTATGGGGGCAGGTGGGTACTTGAAATGTCGGGGGACCACTGTGTAAAGGACATCACTGTCTAACCACTATGTGGTAAACCTGAAACTAATACAAAATAATATTGAATATAATAGTAGATAGATAGATAGACAGACAAGACTGAGTTAACTAGGAAAACAAGGGGGGAAGCAAAGGGGTTGAGGTTCAGGTAGAGGATGGACTGTGTTCAGGACAGAGGCCCAGAAGTGGGAGAGTGTGCTGCAGATGTGGAACTGTAGATAGATAGATAGATAGACAGACAGACAGACAGACACGACTGAGTTAACTAGGAAAACAAGGGGAGAAGCAAAGGGGTTGAGGTTCGGGTAGAGGATGGACTGTGTTCAGGACAGAGGCCCAGAGGTGGGAGAGTGTGCTGCAGATGTGGAACTGGAAGAACCCCCCAAACTGGATCACACACAGACTTTAAAAATGCAACTATGACTTGACTATAATTTTCCAAAGTAGAATTCATAACATTTCCTCTGTGAAATGTCTGTCTTGAAATCAGACACCAATTACAAGCAATTAGGGAAATTTCCAGTGAGAAATTTGGTATCTCTGATTCATTTGCCATTCTCAAGCATTTCATCTTGCAGGTTAAATTCTTTATCTCATTTTCAGAAATGCATCTGGGAAATGAACATTCAAACACTACCTCTCATTCTAATTTGTTTCTGATAGCTACAGCTATTCTAGAATGTTCTTTGTGTAGTAACTTCATGCTCCTTAAAGACTAAAGGGAATAGAAATGATTACGATTCTCCTGATTAGGTTTGTAAACATATGCTACCTTCAAGGACAGCCAATGGTAGAACAAGCTCCTACACAGTGTAGTTAACACAGTTTTTCAGAGACCTCAAGTTCACTGTTCTTAAGCAGATTTCCTGGTCTTGGAGAAAAATGTGTGGCACTGTAGACACACCAAATCAAAAGATGTTCTTTTCATATTCTTAGATCATGCTTTCTATTTCTCCCCCTCCGTATCTAGTTTGAGCTTCATTCCTCTGTCCTTTCGTTGTATCACTTATTTTCTCCCCTCCTTAGATCTCTCTGCATATTCTACAGCCTGAAACTCCTTAAGAAATGGCCTAAAATCATTTAACTTCATTCTTTTGTTACAAAAATGGCTTCATCTACTCAGCAAAAAATATATTACGCAGGTGAATCCTATCCTACACATTTAGAATGAGCCCTTGTTCTTAAAAAAGGTTTGTGATTTCAGAGGTATGTTCCAAAGTAGTCAGTCTTCTCCCTTCCAAATGCGTAAGCCTTGAGTTCAGTGGAAAGCAGAATAGTATTTTAGAGTGCTGTTACTGGGGGCTCTTGTTGGTCGTTCTCTCTTTTGTTTTTCTAATCCTACCCAATCAAAAGAGTTGACCATCCTTGATAAAATAAAGTTCTGCTTCTGCACATGGTTCCAATGTGCAGAAGGCCCAGGACGGGAGTTCCACAACAATCAGAGTGTCATGAGAGTGGGTTCCAGCACTCTTTGGCATCTTCACCAACTCTGATTTGACTGTCAAAAATTTGACTTAAAAGAACTTCATAACATATCGCTCTAAATCACAATGAGATACCACTTCACACCCAAGATGACTATAATTTTTTTAAAAAATAGTGCTGTTGTAGATGTGGAGAAATGGAAATCTTTATATATTGTTGGGTAAAATGGTTTAGCTGCTGTGGGAAACACGTTGGCATAAAAAAGTTAACATACAGTTACACATGACCCTGCAATTCTATTCCTAAATATATACCCAAAAGGATTGAAACCAGATACTGAAACAAGTACATTACACACATGTTCATAGCAGCACTATTCACAACAGCCAAAAGGTGAAATCAGCCCACACCTCCATCCTTGGGTGAATTGTGTATAACAAATTGTGTATGTACATACAATGGAGTATTACTGAGCCCTAAAAAAACAAAACAAAGTGCTGATGATACATGGTACAGTGTGGATGAACCTTCAAAAAAGTTATGTTTAAGTGAAAGAAGCTAGACACAAAAATTCACATATTGTATGGTTCCAATTATAGGAAATATCCAGAATAGATAAATCCATAGAGACAGAATGTGGATTGGTTACCAATGACTGAGAAAAGTGGTGGTTACACAACATTGTGAATATCTTAAATGTCACTGAATTTTATCTTCTGTGAATTTCACCTCAATAAGTTATTTTTATAATGGAACAAATTAAAAATTATGTATTTCCCTAGGCAAAACTTGGATAGGTAACACATTTTATTGCTGACAGGAAACTGCTAAATCAATAACACACACACTTCATTTCTGTTGGTAAGGAAACCTTGCCTAAAGTCCGGAATAGAACAAATGTCAGCTAGTTGCTTGTTTTCTTTTTCTTATTCATAAGCCTTTATATGAGCAGGAAACATAATAGAGCTTATTTCTTGAGCAACCTGTAAATGCTTTTCCCTCTGCAAAAGCGGTGGAGGCATTTTCAGCATCCTCTTCAGACTAAAGATTTCAGATTCACCATCATTCCACTGTTATATCCAGGACCCAGCCAGACAGTGACTAATTTGAGTAAACAATTTTAAGGTTTCACAGTCAATGTCTTGTATGCCAACCACAGCTTTCCCAGCCTTTGCTCTCCTCCTGGCTTTATATCTGAGTTGCCTACATGACCTTGTTTGCATGTACTAGCGCCCACCAGGAAGTTCAATGATTTCTGTTTTATAAAGAGGGGTATTCCCTGCACTCTGTGTGTGGACAAGGTAGCATTCCTCCCCCACTGGTCTACTCCCTAATTACTAGTACTGTGCCACCCAGATTCTGCTCCGGTTCTCACGCATGAAGAGCCTGCTATGGGTAGCTCAGTGGCTTGTTTCTTCCTTATGACAACTTGTGGACTTGGAAGTTTCAGATCCTAGACTATAGAACTAGAGTGTGGCTTGCTCTATGCATGGGGCTTTGAGTCTACGGACACCACCAGCTAAGGGCAAATTAACTTTGCATGTCCAGCTCCATAGACAACCCACTCTTCCCTGAATGATGTTATCCTCAGTTTCTTAGCATATGAAGCCCATATTACAGCCACATTTCTTCTTACATGTGGGATCAGCTCATCTCCTAGCACAGGGAAAGGTTGTGGAAGCAGATGGCCTGGCTTGGAGACCACCTGCTACTCAGAATTCCTTGTTTGGAATTATATTTCATAGGAATGAGAAAAAATACAGCAAAACATCTAATGCTCTGAAAACGTATGCAGAGACCTCTTTAAATACTGGTCATATTATAGTTTGCAGCATAATTTATTATCTGGTTATAGTAGTTGGGTCCATTAATGGGTATTGATTTAACATCATTGTGACCACTCTTGAGACAGAGCAAACCAAAAAGAAAACTTCAAAATGCACAAGAGCAATAAATATCAAACTTTCTGGTCTAAAATGTATAAATATAAAATATCAGTCACTTCTGGAAACATCTTAAGAAAATCCAGGGACCACATGTCCATGGGCAGGTATCTGGTGGTGACCATGCTAATCTTCAGAACATATCACCTCAGATCCAGCATGATTATTTTTATGTCTTTTACCAACACATGTTTGCATACCTAGGAAAGAAAAAAAAATGTCTTTAGATCATAATGTTTAACAAAATTCTCTTTAGGGAGGGAATATGAATTTCCTAATTTAAAAATGTTCCTAATTAAAAAAAAATATTTCCAATGAGAACAAATATAATCAAGTGTAGCCATGTTCAACAAAAAGAAAATATTTACAGAGGCTGCCAAGTAATTTTTATTTTAAATAAATACTAACTTCAAACTAATGTTTCTCAGATGTTACAGCCAGAGAACCACCAAGGAATCAGTTAGAAAGAAAAGTTGTAGCCAGATAATGTTTCTTTTGGGCTATACAATGCTGATTAAGAAGTTACTGCTATGAAAAAAATTAATGTAGCCACATTATGTGGAAATAATTCATGAGACATTCGATATCATTTTATTTAAGAATTGTTTGCTTACTTGGAATCTGAAGAAAACTGTATTTAAGTATCACACAGATACATAAATGGAAAGGTGACATGGGCCGGTAAATAAAATAATAGGACAAATTATAAAGAATAATTAATGTTCTAGATAAGAAAACTCCAAACTAAGCACTACAATGTTTTATCCCATATTATACTGCTAAAAAAAAGCGAGAAGGTAAAAATGTAAATATCTGTGCCTGGTTGGAATGGTTCAGTGGTTGAGCTTTGACCTAGGAACCAGGAGATCACGGATTGATTCCTGGTCAGGGCACATGCCCAGGTTGCGGGCTCGATCCCCAGTGTGGGGCGTGCAGGAGGCAGCCGATCAATGATTTTCTCTCATCATCGATGTTTCTCTCTCTCTCTCTCTGAAATCAATAAAAATATATTGTTTAAAATTAAATATCCAACAGTGTCTACTCACGCTGAACAGCCTTGGTTCCTTGGTGTGGGGATGAAAGCCCTTTTTCTTACAGGTGGAGACCTCGAGCATACCAGCACTGGTGAGCCGGAAGATGCCAGTGCTGGGTTTCAGGGTGAAGGAAAGGTACAAAAATTAAGGATCGTCTGGGCTTTCCTGATGCTTCATTTGAATGGCACAAGCATATTCCTCAAATGGGAAGGAGGAAGGCACCACAAACTAGGAATTCCACGTGACTTTTTGAACCAATCTTACGATGACTGGCCTAGAAGTGAGACACACTGGAGGGGCCAGTGCAAACTCCAAACACCTGCAAGATTGTCAGGGCAAGAGGCAGCTGACCCGCTGGGGAGACCACATCGGAAACGCCGAGGCCCCCTGGAGGAGACTGCACTGGCCTAGAAGTGAGACACACTGGAGGGGCCAGTGCGAACTCCAAACACCTGCAAGATTGTCAGGGCAGCTGACCCGCTGGGGAGACCACATCGGAAACGCTGAGGCCCCCTGGAGGAGACTGCGGGTGGCAGATCTTTCTAATTGTTTTAACAATGGCAATAGTGGTGATTGCAACAGCAAGTATTTACAGAGTGCTGCCTGCGGGGGCCAGGCACGATGCTAAGCCCTTTACGTAGACTGTCATCTTGAGTTTCATGCTCATATCAACCTGTGATGGGCAAGTGTCAGGGATGAAGAGGCCCAGCCTCAAGGTGGTCAGGCATCCTGCTAAACACACCAGTTGAGGGTGGAGACTGGATTCCTATATAACTTGACCTGAGTCCTGTGCTTATAATCACTCTCAAGAATAATCGTCTCCCAAACCTAGGAAGGTTTTGGAGGTAATTAAACGAAGGCTGGACATTTTCCTACAACAGGAAATAAATAATACAGGAGAACTAACACCTCAAATGATAAACTGGAATAACAACATCCAATTTATCCATTTCAAGGTCATGTGAACTGGAGAAAGAGAACCAGCAATTCTCCCACTGAAAAGGACCTTGAAAAGCAAAACTCTAGAGCTAAAGAGACATGGGAACTGACTGCCACCAACCTTTTCCCTCAAGGGCATGGTGTGCCTGCCTTGTGGAGGGGACACACTTGAACCCAGCAGCCCCAGTCCCAGCCTCACTGGCGCCCCTCCACGTACAGGTACTCATTCACTTACTCGTTATGCTTTGGTGAACACACAATGGCAATCGCCTCTGGCAACATGAGCTGATAGGAACAGTGAGTGTGAAGATCCACACTGGATAAGAATGCCGTTTGGGTCGGATGTGTCTATGGAAAGAGAAGAGGACAATCTTATGGGGTAGCTGAGTCTTAGCCAAGGCCACAGACCATGGGAAGAGAAAACTCTAGTTATTTGCTATTTCCTTCTTACCATCATTAAACAGATATAAACTTCTTAAAGTGTCTGCTGACATATACCTTCCCTGTTTGCATCTTTGGAAAAACTATGACTTTGAGAAGAGTTTCTTGGGAGTGTTCATGTCCGTTCTGCTTATTGGAAAAGACAGAACTGGAAATTAATCATCACGACTCAACTAAGGAGACACCTCTATTATTATCTCAATTTCCACCCAGGGATCCCGAAGCTCCTTTAAGTAATTTGCCTTTGGTCACACAGCTGGTCAGGAGGAGAGAGCTGTGACTGGAAACCCAGAGGTACTTTATACAAAACCCTGGACACGAAAGGAAAGTTTTCAATAAATTCCCCACATGGTGCTGTTACCCCTATGTGGATCGCCATCCCCTACCAATGGGAGAACGGAACTCTTCAGGTTGTTCAAGGTGTTTGGGACTCATCTTGCACAGCCAATAAATATGCACAATGCAAGAAGGAAGAGATAAAAAAGTAAAGGAATTATCTTCCAGATTTGAGGCATATATACACACATATTTATGAGAGGCAAATCAGAGGTTCATACTTGGCTATGAAAAACCCATGCCGCCACAATGATTTTAAAATTCACAGTCAACCCAATTACCCTCAAAAAAGGCATGTGACCATTTACATCATGAAACCCAGGTCCTTGGCATGCACTGCCTGGGTCTGGCCTCCTCCAGTAGCTGTAGAACAGTGCGGAGATTCCTTAACTTCCCCATGCCCATTTCCTTGACTCTAACATAAGGGTAATCTTTTCTTCACGGGATTATGAAAATTAAATGAGACAATCCATGTGGAATGCCTAGCACATAGAAAGAAATCAAAACCATTCGCTGGCGTTAATTTAATGTTGTCACCACTATCGGGCATGGGCTCATAGAAACAGCGTCATGCCATTATGTAGAACAATAGCTTGTTCAAGAGATGTAAGATTTAAAAATTCCTTTCTACTTTATTTACTAGAATGAAGATAAAAATCCATTCATATCTATTTACAGAACGACACATGTTCTGCAAAGAAAAAAGTAACTTGGTCTGCAAAGACCGAGATCAACGGAGGAATGGAAATTACCTCATTTTTTTAAAACCCAAAGCTTCAGTAAAGGCATGGGCGGGAGGGCCTGACTGCCTGTTACCTGTCTCAGTGAAAACCTTCCCTTGACACAGAGAGCCATGTAGGCCTCGGTGAGAAAGTGAGACGTGTTCAGAGGAACTCTAGGGCTCTGGAGGCAGCGAGCAGGCTGTCAAGTAGACCAGTCACTCCGCCTGTCCTTTTCGTTCCAAACTGAAAGCACATAAGGCATTCTGAGCCCTTTGTTGCTGCCAGGAGGAATCACTTCTACTCCATGAGGACAACTGACCCATGGGAAAATGGTGCTTCCCTTCCCCACCTTTTTTATGGAAAAAAAAAATGATGACGATGATGATAACAATAGCAGCAGATGTCAATTATTGCAATTGAATGAATGACTTTTCATGAATTATCTCATTTAATTCTTATAACAACAAGATGAGAGAAGTGCTATTATTACTCCCATTTTACAGATGAGGAAACCGAGCTAAGCAGAAGAGTTAATAACACACTGAAGGTCATACAGCTCATTAAGCTGAAAAGTCTAAACTCAACTCCAGATCTGTCTGATTCCAATTCAGCCCTTCTTTCCTGTGACTAATTTATATCTGAAAAAAAAAGTTAGCTGGAGAATTTGTTCCTATCATTGTGCCAATAAAAATCTTCACAAAAAGTCATTACAATCACTGAAGTTTAGACATATAGCATTTTAGTGTTTCCACCGAACCGTAAAATTTGATATAGTGAACTAAACAAAAAGGAAAATCCTGGAATTCTAGAATTATGCCAAATCCATTATGCAAATGACCCAATTTCATTATTGCATACATTAGATACCTAGGACATCAGGGAAAAACTCTGATTTCTAATTAGGGAAATGTTTTGTAAGATAAACTAGCACTGACTTTTCGATGTAAGCAAATTTAATGGACTATCATTCTTCCTAAGTTTATGTTACAATTTATTTGCTACAATTTTTTTTTTGCTTCAAAATACTTTCTTGTTACAGAAAATCACATTAAAGTAAATAATCCCTTTAAAATTCAGCAATTTCTAAGCAAACAGTAAGGCACATTACTTACTGTTAAGTAAAACAAATAGACATAGTTTGCAAACTCTTCAATATACATAATCTCTTGTATTTGAGAGGCAGTTTATACTTTCATAAGGCTTTCAACCTGGCATCTTGCTTACAGCTCACACAAATCTGGCGAGGGAGAGAGGGTTTACATTAGCCCCACTTGGCCCGTGAGGGAACCTGGAAGCAAGGAGGTTAGGAGTCCTGACCAAGGGCACATGGAAATTTACAGGTGAATTCTCCTCTCCTCTCCTGAATTACAGAACACCAAATGTTCCGTGACATTGTGGGTGTAGGGGTGTGTGTGTGTGTGTGTGTGTGTGTGTGTGTGTGTGTGTGTGTGTCCTGCCCCTGTTCAGTACTTCTCTATAAAGCAAGTAAAAAACTGGTCACATCATTTGTCAGGGGCTCTTGAAGGTCCCCAGGATGTGCCCTGGAAATCTTGGCTGGGACCCCATAATGGTGAGATGACTTGTCCCTACCCCAGGCCCAGATGTGTGAGACTGAATGGAAAAATATCCCCCGAGAGATTACACTAAGGATAGAAAAGTAGAGCATTAGCACCAAAACCAACAACTGCAATTTTCTGAGTCCCTAGAAAAACGTGCTAAGGAATTCCCTGACATTATCTCATCTAAAACTCACCATCACCTTACGTCAGTTATTCTGATCCTTGTTTCATGGGTGGGAAAGCTGATACTCAGATTGCGTTAGTAACTTGCCAATGAACTCTTAGCAGAGCTGAAATTTAAACTCACATCTTTTTATTCCTAAGCCCATTCTTGTTCCTGCGATGGCCTGGGGGATGGTAGGACCCAATATTTTCAGCCCCCTCCTTTTGGCCCTAATCTGTGGCTTGTGTATACAGTTTATACATCATTGGCCTGCAGGGGAGGTACAATGGAATATATGGTCCCTACTTAATACAGTGTGGCCTTGACTTACGAGTGTCCCGACTAACGAGTTTTTCGAGATATGAGCCGTCTCTCGACCGATTTTTTGCTTTGAGTTGCGAGCTAAAATTCGGGTTACGAGCCAGCTTCAGATACCCCACCGGTAGTTGGCGCAGCGAACGTCACAGTGAACGCCACAACATCAGCCCAGCATCACGTGTCTCACTCGTTCACTTTTGATTTGACATACGAGTAATTTGAGTTAAGAGCTCCGTCACGGAACGAATTAAACTCGTAAGTCAAGGCCCCACTGTATGTACAAAAACCTGTTTAAAAGAAACATTTTCCAACATTTTCTTAAAGGGAAAGGGAACATTAATAACTGTCTAGACAAATTAGTTAAAAATCTCATGAGGCCTCCATTCTACTCTGTAAAAATCATCGAAACAAGTCACTAATTTCCAGACGTCTCTCCCTCTTTTAACCTGGTAGAAAAAAGCACAATATAACCCTCGCCAGGTTCAGATTTGACAGATTTAGACTTAACATTGAAGAAAATGCTTTGATGTGATGACATTTATTGGACTTGAAAAATATTGAAAGGTTGGGACTATTTAAATTAAGCTGAATTTCCTCAAGGAGGAAAATAACAACAACAACAACACACACACACACACACACACACACACACAACTGAGACCCAAAGGGCACACGTACATGGATCCACCCCAGAGTGAGGAGGCCGTGCTGATCCTGAACACTGAATAATTCCTCCACGTTCTCCACGTCGCAGTAGTCTGGGCCTGCAGACTGCTTTGGCACGATGATGTGGGTAATGGTAAATTCGTTGTGTGTCTGAAAAACAATTAGCAAAAAGGTATCATCTACTGAGAGAGGAATAAAAAGAAAAGAACTGGCAGAAAAAAATTCATATAGTCCTGAATTTTCTGCCCCACAACTTGCATCATCTTCCCCACCCCCCACCCCTCCCCCAATCACAATTCAAAGACAAAGTACAGGTACTGAACTAGGAAATGAATTATTTGCCCAAAATGTGAGTCAGCAGTTTGGAGCTTGAAAGCCATTTTCACAATAGAAAATGTACCATAAATAGGTATTAGCATCCTAGACCAGTGATGGCGAACCTTTTGAGCTCGGCATGTCAGCATTTTGAAAAACCCTAACTTAACTCTGGTGCCGTGTCACATATAGACATTTTTTGATATTTGCAATCATAGTAAAACAAAACTTATATTTTTGATATTTATTTTATATACTTAAATGCCATTTAACAAAGAAAAATCAACCAAAAAAATGAGTTCGCGTATCACCTCTGACACTCATGTCATAGGTTCGACATCACTGTCCTAGACTGATCTATGGCAGTTTAGTTAATAAATAATGTTTGGATATATTACATCTATAATGGGAATATCAGAACAAAATAATAGTGGGTTTATTTGGAGGGGGAAATACTAGTTCCATACCTTTGTGTTGTTACTAGAGGGCATTTCTAAGGCTTTTGGAGGTTGATGGTCTTGTTTTTATTTTAATTATATTGGATTTCACTTCCTGACTTAGGATTTTCTTCTACTATTGGGAGACGCACGGGGTTTTTCCATAATTAGGTAATCTTTTGGATTTGCGATTAGATCAAGAGAAAGTTAAAATAAATTACCCGCCTCCAGTAAAAGATAAGAGTTGCAAGGAAGAGGGTTATAAAAAGGTGGCAGGAACCTCAGTAAGAGCTATTATGCTGAGTTTAGCTGTCCATCCCTCCACAGCACTCCTTCTTTGAGCTCAGAAGCCGTCGACTTCTCTCTAGTCTTAGGGCTTCCCTGCAAACTGGCCACTCTTCCTCCAGCCTTCATTACAGCTCTTCCCTCCATCCCAGTCCCTCGTCCACGGCTCACTTTATGTATCCTGCAGGCTTGGGGTCAGCATCACTTCTTAGACCCTCCCAGACGAGGTCAGTTTCCTAGTACACATTCCCTTGATCCTGCACTTCCACTGAGAGCACCTAGCACCATTTCTAATTAATCATCTGTCTCAGTCTTTGCAAGCGTCATGTAGCAAGGACTGTGGCTGTTGTAGGCTACCGAATGCCAACACCTAGCACAGTGTCTGGCACATATTTGTCTGATGAGGGAAGGAAGGAAGGAAGGAAGGGAGGAAGGAAGGAAGGAAGGAAGGGAGGGAGGGAGGAAGGAAGGAAGGAAGGAAGGGAGGAAGGAAGGAAACTTAGTACAACTGGTCCTGGGGGGAGGAAGCATCCACAGCACACTGCCCCCTGAAGGGCAAATAAGGTGACCAAGATGGCAGGTCGTTCTGCTGTGCTTGCCACCTGTGCTTCCTTCCTCCTAGGAAAGGGGAGGGTGAAACACTGGAATACTGTAGGAGAATGTGTACTGGAGAATAAAACAGAGCATGTATTCAATTACACAACAGTTCTTAAGCTAAATGTTTAGGGCTGAAAATGTTCCTGTACCCAGACATAGAAACTTATACCCAAGGAGACTATGAAAGGCCACTTCCAAAAATATATTATTCATCTTTCTTGCAAGTAAGAAATTAATTTCATCTCCTCTCTTTTATTTCCTTCTATGTTGACATTGTCTTTCATCACATATTTCAGATAAAATCTTCCATACTTAAATAGGGCCTGTGCCATAAGATTTCGTTTGTTGAAACTGTTGCCTTAAAGGAAGCCACAAAGCCCTCGTTGTACTGCACGCATATCTGAAAAAGCGGTGGCAAGGCGATACCTCGCACGGATAAAAGCAGGCAGAGTTAATTATATAAATGTTTGTGAAACCAACAATTGCAACAAAAATCTGTCTTAGAAAATTAGATGGTTTTGAAAATCCGAAGACCTGAAATTTTACCATCCATGTTCTAGAACAGCGGTTCTCAACCTATGGGTCGCGACCCCTTTGGGGGTCGAACGACGCTTTCACAGGGGTCGCCTAAGACCATCGGAAAACACATATATAATTACATATTGTTTTTGTGATTAATCACTATGCTTTAATTATGTTCAATTTGTAACAATGAAATTGGGGGTCACCACAACATGAGGAACTGT